CCCCAGCCGCAGCGGTGCCGAGCCGGGGCCCAGCCGCGAGAACTTGGGGGGGTTACGGAGGGTTCAGGGGGGCACCAAGACCCTCCTGCCCCCAGCAGCTGGGTGGGGGACCCCAGGGTCCTGGCTTTCCCAGCCCGGGGCTCACCTGGTACTTGAGCAGAGCCACGTTGTAGTAGGAGGCAGCCGGACTCTGCTCCGCTTGCTTCTGCAGGTGCCCGGTCAGCGCCGCCATGTTCAGCCAGAAGTCCTTGGTGCTGGGGTCGCTCTGGGACGGGTCGCTGCGGGGACAGGGTCAGAGCGGCAAGGGTGCCTGGGCACCCCGGGAAACCCGGCACCCTGATACTTAGCTCCCCATCGCTGCACCCACCAGCTCCCAAGGATGCCCAGGCCTCCCAGGAACCCCAGGAACACCGTGTACCTTGATACTCCGCTCCCCGTTGCTGCATTCACCAGCTCCCAGGATGCTCAGGTGCCCTGGGAACCCCGTGTACCCCGATACCCAGCTCCCCATCCCTGCATCTACCAGCTCCCAGGATGTCCAGGCATCCCCAGGAAACCAGGTACCCCATGTACCCAGCTCCCCACCACTGCATCCACCACCTCCCAGCACGCCTGTACCCCCCTGGCACCCCCTGTACCCCAATACCAGCTCCCCGTCACTGCATCCACCACCTCCCAAGGTCCCTGCATCCCCCCAGGCACCCCCTGTACCTCGATACCAGCTCCCCACCGCTGCATCTCCCGGCTGCCAGCCTGCCCAGGCATCCCCGTGCAGCTGGTGCCGCGGTGCCACCGCGTCCCCGCACCTGTAGAGCAGCTCGGCATTGGGCAGGAACTGCTCGATGGCGCCGGCGTTGAGCAGGCGGAAGCTGAGCACGGGGGGGGCCATGCTCCCGCTGAAGACACGGACGATGCCGGCAGGGAAGGACATGGTGAGCTCCCCCGTCACCTTCACCAGGCAGCTGCCAGGGACAGGCCGGGGGTCAGCGGATGCCCCAGGCAGGATGCAGCGGCTGGGGGGGGGGGGGGGGCCGTGCCCCCCCACGCGCCCCC